TACAGGGCCAAAAACTTGTGGCAAAGCCTGAGGAAGGACGATAGGCTCAGCCTTGTGCTCTCTTATGGGGTGTGCATAGCTAATTTTAACTTGCAATAAGCAGAATAGAGAGGCAATCTGTTATCATTTTTAACAGCATGATTCAAATCAAAGCCACACGCTACATAATTCTTTTTATGAACAACAAGCAGAAAAAGGCTAAAAGTTTTAACACGTCCAACAAGTATGTAAGAGCGAAGCTCACACATAGCAACCTCAAGAAAACCTTTTTAGCTATCAATATTTCAAATTTATTTGATAATTACATGTGCAACAACTCAATGCTCATAAAAATCACAAGTCACAGAACAGATGAGAGTGAACGGGACCTCTGGAGATTGCCTAATGCAAACCGCCCGGCCCCGCTCAAAGCACTGGCAACCAGAACAGGTTGCTCAGCCATCACTTCCAGTCGGATCTTGAGCATCTCCAGAGACAGAGACCCCACAACCTCTCTGCACAACCTGTCCCAGTGTTTGGCCACCCTTCGAGATGCCTCAGAGCCAGGGGAACGAAAGCGAGGTCACAGGCAGGTGAGTTTCACATTGCTATATTTGTTTAAATGAGGCAAATTAATTGCTCCTAAAAGCAGCTCTGGAAAATCAAGTGACCTGCTTCAAAGGAAAGGATGTCCAGCAGGGCAGTGACCATGCTGATCTGAGACTACTTTAGGATTAAAAACAAAATTGGTTTAAATGATACATAGAAGCGTTCAACAATTTTCACTGCCAAACAGAAATTAGTAGCTATTCTATACAGATGACTTAATATACCAACATCCAAGCAAATATTCTGCAACACATAAATGAGCGTTGCAACATGTGAAGAAAGTGCTGGTACGTTTCTGATTTGAAACGCTTAGAATTGTATTAGGATATAACTGAAAACTATCTTGCTATTAATCAGCCCCTAGAGATAGCCGATTAAAAATATCACTTCAAGCCAATCATCAGCAAACACATCACTGTTTTGGATTTGAGCCTTTTTTTCCATTGCATCTGTCAGTCCTCATTTTTTATATGAAATACTAGGATCACTTTCAAGTTCAGAAAAGGAAAAACTCTGAAAAACAGTTAATACTGCGAATGTGGTGGTCCTTCATTCACTCCCAAGACCTCGACACCATGCTTAAGCTTCTTAATGATGTTCTCAGAACAGCTCGGCTGCATAACAGTCAGTCTGATAATACTTGTCTATTCTAGGCACATGTTGATGGCAATGGTATATTATTTTAAAAGTATTTTCTACAGGCTATAGGAGAATCTTCTATAGTAAGCCCTAAAACTTCCCTCGGAAAGTATTATCACTTAGCTAAGCATCGGTGGATTTAAATACTTCAACACTAAACACGTTTCTGCAAAGACACATATCAATCATACTTAACCTGGTAAAAGACTGGCTTCCTTTAATTTTTCTCCCACATAGCACAATCCGAAACACGTGCTTACAAGATCTACAATGAAAGTGCTTTCCTAATGAATATGTCCCTTCATGTTTGACATAATTGTTCTCTTCCTCCCCATTTAAACTACTATATAAGCTGACATACTTCAGCTTGAGGAACTTACTTCATACTGGTCAAGGTCCTCAGGGACCCGCGGTAATTCACAAAACTAAGCTCTTCTGAACTTCCTGATGAAACACAATAATTATATCTTCTTTGAATAGAAGTCATACAGTCTTCTAGAGAGTGAGTGGAGACAAAGCAGCATTAGGAGGGCTCTGAAAGTAAAGGTCATAATTCTGCTTCCAAGTTCCTCCTAAGGTGCTATGCAGTTAGGTGCAGCTCAGATCTGGCCTACCAAGAAGTTGCGTCAGAAACTATGCTGCCTATCCCTGCATTCCTCATAGTGTAAAGAGGACACCACAGTAACCATTCACAATCTTTTAACAGCAACTTTTTTCCTATCCTCAAATATATTTTGTGGGAAGCAGATACTATATTCCACCCAGCAGATAAGTAACTAAAAAGTCTGTTATATGGGAATCGATATGGAGCAACATGTTACACAATGAAATCATATGCAGGTGCTCTTCTGCAGAGTGCAACAACCACAGCTGGGTGGAGAACTGACTTAAAGGACCTAGAAGGTAATTGTAATAGCCATAACTAACAACAGTGGAAAAGACAGTTTCTTAAGTAGCTGAATTCCAGACCATTCAAGGCTCACCTTAAATTGCCCCCTGAAACAAATGCTACCATAAAAACTGTCTGGGTTCATATGTAACACTTTAAAAAGCCATATTTGACAGCTACGTTGTCATAACTGTGAAATACAGACCTCCTCTACTTCAGAGCTGTGAAATATTACTTCTTTTTCCTGCTAGCTGGCAGCGGGAGTTTTGCTATATCCACTATGCAGTATATATAATAAGTAACAGATGCCTGTGAATTATGATGCTGTAATTCCATTGAGGGGTTCCAGAGATGTCAAACCACAAAAGCAAAGTCTGAGTGGTTCATGAGGTTACCTGAACTCAGGGATGGAATTACAGCCCTGTCATGAAGAAGTTGCCTTCTTAAACAGTGCATGAATCCACACTTTTTCCATATATGTTTTCCTCTCTTTCTTTTCCCTATACACTCATTCAGCCTCTCATCCCACTCTCCTCCTCTCCTCAAACCTCCTCCTCTTCCTTCAGGTGTTGCAGGAGAAATATCACTCATGCCTGTTTCTGGAACACAAATTAGTTTTTTCAAAAGATCACTTGATTTCAAAAAGTGGGCTTTTTTTTTTTTTTTTAAACAGCATTTTCCCATCCCTGGGTATGACTGTAGTAGTGAATTCATCTATTATCTTTAAGCCCTTCCAGAAAATGATGCCAATAATGTTCCAAATAAGAGTAATATTTTAAAGAAAATTAACAAAAACTTTGAACCATGAGATATTTTCACCTACCCAAAGGCAGCTATTAATGCTACTGCTGGTACTCTACTTTTAGGCGCATGCAATGACGTCAATTGCCTCAGTTGTCCTTTATCATATTCGGAACCAAAAATATCTTTAAAAGGGCCTGCACTGAACTCCTTACTATCTGGGAGACTCGGGAGCTGAGACAACCTGCACAGTGGGAGACTCAAGTAACATAAATGCTCCATGGTAGGTCCAGAAGATTGATGTACCAAATGGAGCCAGAGCTCAACTCCAGCTAAATGAGTTAGCCTGGGTTCGGAGCATGAAAAACCCAAGCTGGCTTCTGCAGAACCAGCTCGTGTGTCTCTGTACCACACTGCGCTCACCTGCTCAGAAAGCACGCTGCTGAAACCTCAGGAGTCAACTCAGGTATCTTTGCGCCCATGAAACAATTATTCACAAATCAAGTAAGTGGAGTTGGGACCAAACTATAATGAAATAAAAACTGTAATTTTCATCTAAAAAAAGAAAAAAAAATCTATCGCGTTATGGCCTTCAGAAGACAAGAAGGCACTGATCCTGAATCTGTGTTTTCTGTCTCCGTAAGAGGTCTCCCCACCTCTCCGAACCAGGAGATTAAAGATTAATAATTTTTAATAATAAATCTCAAAAAGAGCCAATGACTATGGCCTAATGTACACAAGATTATAATATCCACTTATTACTACATTTTTATTCTAAAATACTGATTGCTAAGAGACTGAATCACTATATATGGCTTATGGTTATCATTATGTTGATTAGTTGTTTTAATTTGAGAATTTTGGATACGACTCCCAGTTCCAGCACATAAAACTTTCCATTGAAAGCAGATTTTGGCATTCTTTGCATAAGATACAGTGGTTAGTGTTAACATGCAACCAAAAATTTTATGCAGGCAAATAAACTTACTTCCTCTTCTTTGGGCTCACTTCCAAAACACTGTTTTTAATATATGATGCACAAATGTCCCATAACACTGCTTTATATTAAAAGTATGAGCCAATGTCCTATGAGAACACTTCTTAGGTCACTATTTTTCATTTATTATTATTATTATTATTCATGCCTATGTACACATATGGAAACACAGAATCGCCTACAACATTTTTAAGGATGCGTGCATTTCTTCAGAGGAAACTACCTTGTGAACAAAATCCAGCACGTCCTACCGAATGGTGTGAACACACTGAGAAAGATTTATTTACTTGACTCTTGATGTTCAGGTGTGAATATCACTTGATATTCACTTATGAACATCAGCTACAGATTAAGTATTATGACCTTCTACTCAAAAAATTTAACATGTTTAAAAAAACATAAAATAGCAAGAAGCTGCATTTACCAAATTTTTTCATTTAGAAATCATCTCAGGGAAGCAAAGAGTTCAGACAACGTACTAATGAACAAAGCCAATCTCTCTCACGCACTGAAACGTGCTACACTTTCATTCCTGAACAAGTCTATATTTTACTATTGTTTTAGTCTCCCTTCTCCCACTGCTCCTCATGTAAGAAACACACATCCCTCACTTCCTTTCTAGGTTTGCCAATGCATTGCAACCAAGGGTGTGACTGCAATTTGTAGACATACCAGTACTATATTCCACCAGGGATCTACTATGGTTATGGGCCCCATGAGCCCATCAAGGACTATGCACGTACCAGTGCATAGCTGGCTTGCACCGAAGCCCCAATGTTAAGATCTAACTGTGAGTGGTTGGCTTCATCGAGTACATGAATGCTGCAGTGACTCCTCAAGGTGCACTACAGACATACACCCATACTGTAATACAGAGGGATTCCTCTTTGCCAGTGATAAATGTTACATCAAACAAAGCTGCAGTAATGTAAAAACACTCCAAAAATTCAATTGAAAGAAATGACAGTTTCTCCATTTATATTCCTGTTTCATAAAGATACTAAAACCTGCAGGGTCTACATGCACCTGTTGTTCAGTATAGTTTCAGAGCAAAGTCATTTTCAGGTATATTAAAGCCAAAATAGACTACTGCTGTAAGTTTCCATTCCCCTGGTTTGCCTTTTGTGGTTGTTTTTGTTTTTTTACCTGAACCACTGTAAGATGATGATGAAGGCGTTCGCCTTGAAAAGCTCTTCACTGCAAGACTCTGGCCTCGCTGCTTCCGCCTCCAAGCTGTTCGGCATTTGGAGTCTATGCTTTGCTTGATTCGATACCAGTCGGATTCTGTGATTCCAAATTTATAAAATAGGTGACCTATAATTAGAAAGAAACACAAAGGGATAGAACCCAGCATAAATCTGTATTTTCATGAAAACACATAAACAACCCACACTGTCATGCACTCAAAGAGAATAAAGTAACTCTGAAAATTTTAGGGCTTCCCATCATGCAAAAACACTCTAAAGAAATACGACATTAAGAAAAATGCCAAAGTTACACAGTGGTGTGATTTCAACAACTGTTGACAGAATAAGAAATCATACATATGCACACACCAGCTGTGTATTTAAAAATGTCAGTCTATGAAAATTCTCAATCTACGCTTCTATCCATGGAAACTGCACTATTATATTCAAGACGCGGGATACTGAAAAACAGAAGGATCCAGCACTACCAAGTCAAAACAGGATGAAGATGTATTTACCACTAATACTGCCACAATATGTATAAACCTGATGTGTAGGAAGCCAGACTAAAGCTCTGTACAAAAGGGACAAACTCCTTTAAAGCTCATTTGAACAGTCATCAAAATCCAATAAAAACACAGTACAAAATTAAAATCTAAAAATGTTACTGCTAGTCGTATGTCAAGTCATCTGAAGAGATACATTCTGCACTTTTCAACATTGCTTTTTGAACAGTTTGCGCTAAGTTGCCAAACTGATTACACAAAAACAATGTTGGCTTGCAAGCTGAACGGCTCGAGTATTTTATATAAACCTTATATAAGACTGAGTCCTGCTACCAACTCAAACCAGGTTTATTATCATGTGCACCCTCTGTAACCAAAGTGGCAGCCTAGCTGCACAAGAAACAGAAGCAATCAAAAGTGTGTTTCAGGTATGAGAAAAAATATGAGTAAAAATATTAGTTTCAACATCTGGACAGATGGTTAAATATTGTGAAGGAAATGTGTTGTGCATTGTCAGCTTTTTCAAGGCTCTCCTTACACTGTTACAGACTTTTACCATTTTATTGCAAGCCTTACTTACAGTAGTTTATATTTTGCTTAAAGCATCAAGAGTGGAGGGCATTTGATTATATGTTAAGAGAAATCTATACTCTTCAGGGGTGCAGGAAAAAATGCTTAGAAAAGTAAATCAAAAAGTTCAGAAACCCTGAAGGGAAATAGATCTATCTGAACATTTACTATTCTTTAAAACTTCAAGACTTTTAAACATTTCAGAATTAGATGCATAATAGTGCAGTTTAAAAAAAAAAAAAAATCAATCTAGAGCTGTAATATCTATATGTACTCAAATGGACTTTATGACTATGCTTGAAGGCTCTCTTAAGGTTTTCCTATTCCTTTAAGTATCCTTTAAATTGTTCTCAGTATCCTCCTGAATAAAATCATCTTTTCAAGCTACTGGTTTACTGTCTTATTCTCAAACAGGATCCTGATGAAGTACTTAAACACATGCTTAAACTGTTTTATAGTCCTATGAACAGGGGAGGATATGACCATGTATAAGACAATTAATTTGAAGCCTAGAGAAGCAAAATTTTAGCTTTTCCTCAACTAAGGTTTTGTTCTCTCCTTTGTATTAAAAATGAGCTGAGAGCTCTCAGATTCTGAAATTGGCATGTGACTGTTTTAACATCGTCAAGTGGAGTACTGTATCTCTTAAGTCATCATCATTTTTAACATTATATCTGTTCTCTGATGCTCTATTTTATTTTACCTTTGTTCAAAGAGCAATTTGAAATAAAGCAGGGAGCATCCGGGAAGAAAGCGCTGGCATCAAAAAGCCAAATCTAAAGCACTGTAAAGGCTCAAGATTTCTCACTGGCAAGTGACAGCAAGCATGTTATTTAGAGACTGCTTTACAACTCCTTTATTATAATCACAAAAAGGGGGTGGAAGGTAGGAAGAAAATTGACTGAAATTATCAGCTGCTGTGTAACAGTTTCCTTTCCACAGGTGTCAACAAAATGAAAGCACATATTGTCCTGAAAATACTGAGACTACATCTCTGAATGTAATCTTTTGCTTTAAAAACTAATGTGCAGTATACAGAGAAATGGGTTTGTAAATGTTTGCAGTAATGTCCAATACAAATAGTTGTGTTTTAACTCTTTATATGACTTCAGCTGTCAGTACATACACAATACTTGTACAGTCCTACATAAAACACACTGTCATATGCTTTGTGGTTATTTTGAACAAATGTCCATATTTCATTAATAAATACATTTTAATTACTTTCATGTTGCTTGCTGCTCACTGAAAAAAAGTGATGGAATTACTTGCAGATCACAGAAAACTCTTCCAGAAACAATTTTAAATGTTACACTGTAATACATAGGATATTCCAGGATGTTGCCCGATTCAAACAGAAATCAAAAGCAATATAAGTTGTTTGGGACAAGGCAGTCTCAGGAGCAGTAAGCTGTTCATGCTAGGAGAGCCAAGTGCTGTAGGACAAGTATAAGGATAGGTACCAGAGCTGTAGCATGAAATGCCCTAGAAATTGCTCTATTGAGGGAAGACAGAGAAGGGAGGCCTTCTACTAAGGGTTGAAAAAGTTATCTTTCACAGAATCACAGAACGGTTTAGGTTGGAAGGGACCTCTGGAGAGCATCTAGTCCAACTCCCCTGCTCAAGCAGGGTCCTGTAGAGTATATTTCCCAGGATTGCGTCCAGACGGCTTTTCAATATCTCCAGCAAAGGAGACTCCACTACCTCTCTGGGCAACCTGCTCCAGTGCTCAGTCACCCTCACGGTAAAGAAGCTTTTCCTCATGTTCAGACCAGACTTCCTGTGGTTCAGTCTGTGCCCGTTGCCTCTTGTCCTACCGCTGGGCACCACGGAGAAGAGTCTGGCGCCATCCTCTTGACACCCTCCCTTCAGATACTTGTACACATTGATCAGATCCCCCCTCAGTCTTCTCTTCTCCAGGCTGGACAGGCCCAGCTCCCTCAGCCTTTCTTCATAGGAGGCCTCCGCTGGACTTGCTCCAGGAGCTCCATGTCTCTCTTGTACTGGGGAGCCCAGAATTGGACACAGTACTCCAGCTGAGGCCTCCCCAGGGCTGAGGAGAGGGGCAGGATCACCTCCCTCCACCTGCTGGCAACACTCTGCCTAATGCACCCCGGCATACCATTGGCCTTCTTGGCCACAAGGGCACACTGCTGCCTCATGCTTAACTTGTTGTCCACCAGCACTCCCAGGTCCTTCTCGGCAGAGCTCCTTTCCAGCAGGTCACTCTGAATGGCAGCACAGTCTTCTGCTGTGTCAGCCACTCCTCCCAGTTTAGTATCATCAGCAAACTTGCTGAGGGTGCACTCTGTCCCTTCATCCAGGTCATTGAGGAATAAGTTAAACAATACTGGACTCAGTATTGACCCCTGGGGGACATTGCTAGATACAGGCCTCCAACTTGACTCTGTGCCATTGATCACAACCCTCTGAGCCCTGCCATCCAGCCACTTCTCAATCCACCTCACCATCCACTCATCCAGCCTGCACTTCTTGAGTTTGCCTATGAGAATATTATGGGAGACAGTGTCAAAAGCCTTGCTGAAGTCCAGGTAGACAACATCCACTGCTCTGCCCTCATCTACCCAGCCAGTTGTCCCATCATAGAAGGCTATCAAGTTGGTTAAGCATGATTTCCCTTTGGTGAATCCATGCTGACTACTCCTGATCACCTTCTTGTCCTCCAAGATGCTTAGTGATGACCTCTAGGATGAGCTGGATCCCTTTCCAGGGATGGAGGCAAGGGTGACAGGCCTGTAGTTTCCTGGCTCCTCCTTCTTGCCCTTTTGGAAGGCTGGAGTGACACTGGCTTTCTTCTAGTCCTCAGGCACCTCTCCTGTTCTCCATGACCTTTCTCCATATCTTTCAATTAGTGTAATAAGGAATAGCCACGAAATACTAGATAGAGAGAACATCATCTTCATGGAGAGAACAAGACTACAGAGAAAAGCATGTAAAACAGATGAACAAGCTAAACACAGTAGAGTAGGAGAAGCAGGTTTCATGCTAGAGAGCTCAGACATCAGGTATAGCTTTTCAAAGCCAGGCATGTGTACTACTTTCCCATTTTCACAAAATTCCTACCTTGCTGTTGCAGTGGTTGAAGGTGTAAAACTGGTATAAACACACCTGCTGCTTGCACAGATTTCTACCATAACTGCATACTCAGTCGCAGTGAGCAAGTTCGGCATGAAAAATTAGCGCTCAAGTATGAAGATAGTTGATGTAAAGGTCAAATGAATTTCAGATGTATGAATCTATCTAGTTGGTACTACAATCTAAAATGTTATTCTATTAAAAGATCTTTAGCAACCACATTTGATAACAGTCCACTGACAGCCGAACAAAACTGTAATGCTAAGTACATTGGAGTATTTTTGAAGTGGATATACATATTCTGAGAAAAGGTTCACTATAACAACATTAGAGATATGATTTACATGTGGTACAGAGATAGATGCTGAAAACGTGTACAAACAATTTCAGGAAAATCAAAGTGTTGACTTTCTGTTCTTTACCAATAACAGATCATATGCAGGAGAGCTTTCAGCTAAGCGTCTCATTCTGAATATGTCAAATGACAAAAAAAAAATCTAGAAAGAGAGGAAAAAGCAAGACATTGCAAGTGAGACTTCTAACTTGGGGAAATCCCCATTAGAAAAGACAGAAATACTTCAGTGTAAACAGATTCAACTTTTCCAGAGCATTTGTTAGTCAAAAGCGACACAAAGCATTATAATGTATAAGCAGTACAATATCTACGAGCCACGTAACAGCCCTGCTAAAAACATATAAAAATACATCCAGCAACATAATTCAGCACTTTGGCAAAAAGACAAAGTATTTTGGAAGAAAGATGCATTTACACAAGAACAGTGAAGAAAAGCATTTAGATTATCTAAGGATGATCGAATGTGTTTTTAGAAGATATCTTCATTTAGAACGATGAATGGCTGCCGGTAACACTCAAAACAATGGATGTGCTTGTTTTTAAACATTAAGGGTCCAACATTTGCTTTCTCTGGGATCCTCACTTCCTAAACAAAGTTCT